GGGCTTGATAACTCTATGCTTAGTGAGTATGTCTAAGGTTGCAACCTAGTTTAGGTAACCAAAACATGCAATACTTTGATAAGTTATTCTTTCCTATTGATTTCATAAAAATTCTTGAAGGTAATGTAGCAATTTTATGTTGTTGCATTTCATGGTTTTATGTATATATTATTCCCCAAGTAATTCATGTATTAACATGCTTATGGATAGGTAGTGGATTCACTTCCCTAGCCCTCTCTACCTAGATCTCCTTCCTTTACATTTACTAGCATTCTTGTTTTATGCACACTTCAATTACTAGCTTAGTGACAAACCAATCAACAACTCCTTATTACACCTTATCATTCTTACATAACTCTAGATACTTAGGTTGCCTTAAGACTAGCGCAGTCCCAGTGGTTCGACTTACCCGACCAATAGCCCTATTTTACAATGATTCGTGCTATTGCGAAGGTTGATGTTTAGTTGATCAACCGATCACATATCTTGCATATAAATCATTTTAGACTTGGTAAATGGCATGGCAATGAGTTGATCTTTGACATATATTAATTTGAGATGATTTAGATGAGTTTTCAAATCTAGAGATTAAATGGATTTAATTTGATTTAAATTCTAGTATATTGTGTTTTGCTTGTATCCCATTTTAGATTTGAGATATGGTATGACCATGATTTGGTGCTTGTTATATATTAATTTGGGATCATTTGAATAACTTTTGAAATCTAGAGATTTAATTAAAATTGAATTAATTAAATTCTATATGAAGGTATCTTGCTCATTTTGTACTTTTGACTTGATATATGTAATGAGCATGCTATGTTGTTTAACATAGATTAAATTGAGGTTATTTGGAATAAATTTGAAATCTAGAGAATTTAATTATTTTGTTTAATTAAATTCTATCTAATGGCTCCATAGATCTATTGGTATTTTAGAAGTTGTTTCTATATTCAAATCATGGACTTGAACTTATTATGTATTCACTTTGTTGTGTTTTGAGCATTGGACAATTTTGTTGTTATATATATATTCATGAGAACATGTTTTCTTTATGGAATATATTGATGCCATGTGTAGTGAATTGCACACTTTGTAATTGACATTATGTATGTTATTTTAGAATTGAAACTCTAAGGCATGGATTGTGTGGTTTCAACCTACTTGTGCATGGAAGGTGTTTTCATGCATTATATAAGTTATGTATAAGTTGTGAACTTATTTGGTTTAATTTTGGAATCTTGGAACATTGTTGAGTTGAGATGGCTAGGGTTTGGCTCTAGTATGGGGACGTGAGTCCTCTAAGTCATTGAGATAGTGCGCACTTAGGGTGGTCTTCCCTGTGGGTTAGTGCCCGGAATAACCATTGAGGTCTTGGTAGAATTCCAAGCTTAGATGTCCAAGTCTTCCACTATTTGTTTTCGCATTCAATTCCAAGTTATCAATCATGTTTATATTGTAACTTGTGATTTTGGTTATTGGCGATTTTGATGTTGTTAAGTACATCCATGTTTATGATTTTAATGAATCATTTTGATGTTGTTAAGTACATCTATGTTTATGATCTTAATGAATCATTTTGATGTTGTTAAGTACATCCATGTTTATGACTTTAATGAATCATTTTGATGTTGTTAAGTACATCCATACTAAATTGATATATTTAGTTGATTTCACACTTTTAGATTTCTAGTTGATAACCTAGAGAACCTATGTCTTGATGTGTGGCATTAGATATTCTAATTATGCTAAATTGTTATATTTAGTTGATGTTGCATTTTAGACTTCAAGTTGATTACTTTGAAAATCTATATGTTGTTGCTTTGTGTAAGCATGCTCTTATGTTGTTGCTTTGTAAGCATGACCCTATGTTGCTAAAATTGCATGAATGAGGTGATTGATGCTAGAAATGATCTTAGGTAGCTAGGATGCTCCTTGAGTGTCACCTTTAACATAGACGTTAGGTGAAATGAATCACAATAATTAAATCATGCAAACTTGTAAAATGTCGGTCGATGCATGCTCATTTCCTATGAGTAGCTTTATGTTACTCAGCCCTACGATACTGGGGCATATTTCAGGTACAGGAATTAAAGTTGAGACTCCCATTATGCTTGGATGACTTGTGGACTTGAAGACTCCATTTTTGTGAAGGTTGGCTCGGAATGCCAATTGTAGTCTTATTTGTCAAATTTGTATAATTGATTCCATTTATGTAATGTGTACATGTGTACACTCTTTTTAATGTATTTAACATGCATGAGATGAGGCCGGAGGCCAATGACTTGTATTTTGTATCCTTTGTACTTTTTGACTCCATGAAATATTATGAATATGTTGAGAAATGTTAAGTTATTGTCTCACTATGTTTTCATCGGGTGTGGGAATTCCATTTTGATTCTTCCGTAGGATCTTATTAGTCATGTATGAAGTGTGGCCAAGAGCCAAATGGTAATTTCCAATCATTCGTTAATTTTGGTTTTCAAAATTTCCATTTCAAATTCATTTTCGCCTTTTTGGCCGTCGGAAGGTCAGATTTTGCATCGGTCGTTTTTGGGAGCCGCAGACCATTCATGCGTGCTCAAAATCACTTATTACGTTTGTGTGCATATTCATTTCAACCTAGAAGTGCACTTGGGGTCAAAAGTATGTTTGGTGCAAACTTACATTTTTTGCCGTTTTGAGCCTAAACTGAGCATAAGGGCATTTTGGGGTTTTCACTTGAAAAATAAAATTTTCTTTTGGCATGGTTGGCTAGAAAACATGATTTTGAGGGTAGTTTCTTCTTTGTGTTTTTCTCAAAAAGGCCCAGAAAGTCCTCAAAATTGCATTTCAAGTTGGCTTTTCAAGTGCAGCCTACAGTAGTTCGAGTGCTCTAAAGGGGGAGTTTGAGCGCTCTAACTTCGGGCAGAACTCTTAGGGTAATTTTTGAGCACTTGAAGTCCTTGTTTGAGCGCTCGAGGTACTGTTCACGGGTGTATGTGTGTCTTGGTTCAGCACTTCAAATCATCATATCTTCTTTGTTTTAACTCCAAATTGGTCGGTTCTTGAGTCTAAATTGATCGTGTCGAAATAAGCTTTCCAATGGTACTAATTAGAGCTTCAGATTCCTCTTGTAGCTCAAGATATTCAAGTTTTAGTAAGGTAGTGTCTGTTTTTGGTTCGAATCGGGATAGGGTTTCCTTTCCTTCGACTTCAGAACTTGATATCTTTGCCGTCCGGACTCCGAATCAAGTGATTCTTGAGTCTATCTTTATTAATTTTTTGTTGTCTTTCCAATGGTGTGCACGGTGGCACCTATTTTAGTGTGGAATGACCATTTTGGCCCTAGGTTCATTCTTTTCCGTTTTTAAAACGTTGCTTCCGCATTTTCTTCCTTTGGGTTTTGTGACCTCATTAAAGGTCACATTGGTGTCTTAAAGGAGTGTTGTATCTCTAGAGACCATTATTCTATCTTTTGCTTCGGCATTTTGGATCCGTTTTGGGTCATCACAGGATACACTGGGTTAAAAAATCCAGGGTCGTCACACCTAGGGCCTCGTGCTAGACCTCAATGATCGAGCACCATCATTCAAAGCTCGAGCCTTGAGTACCTAAAGCTCAAGCTTGGGACCAAGAGCTCGAGCCCTATGAAGCTTAGATCGAGTAATGTTAAAAGAAGAGAATCTTAAAATATTCTAAGTGTTGAAGAAAAAGACGCTTCGAAAAATAGTTGAAGAAATTTGACTAAGTGCAAAAGTGAAGATCGAGCACCATCTTTTGAAGCTCAAACAATAAATCATTGAAGCTCAAGCCTTGTTCCCAAAGCTCGAGCCTGAGGCCCAAAACTCAAGCTCTACTTCTTAAGCTCGAGTCTTCCATGACAGATCAGATCTAAAGTTACTGGATTATTCTTTTCAAAGTCGTATTTCACTCCAGATGGGCCAGAAGACCTAAAACCCCACTAAACCTTTATTTTCTTCTATAAAAGAAGGCACAGGCCTTGATAGAAGAAGTCCCTTTTTCTCGTATTATTCAGAAGGCTGATACTGTGGTGGCGGCTGATTGAGAACAATCATATAAGATATGATAGATTGATTAGATTTCTTAATAGATAGTTAGTTTAGTTTTTGGAGAAGGTTCAAAAATTAGTTAAAATCCATGAACTAGCTCATCAAGACCTATTCACAGCCCCTCTAGGTTTATATCACGACCTTATGTAACTTTACATCGAAGAGTTTTGGTCCTACAACCCTCAATAGCCAATATATCCCTCATAACACCCTTGATTAATGAGAAGCAGCATTAGTAACAACTTTTTTTAGCAAATAGAGATAGATTATAGTTAGAATGTTAATGCACCTTTTATTTGTTAATTAATAGAAGAAGAGAAAGGAAAACAAGGAGTAAGGAATATAGAAGAAGAGAAAGGAAAACACGGTTCCAATGTTTGGATGCTGGTGGCCTTAGGTTACAAGATACTTTATTATTTTCTGTAATTTCATAAATATTGTTCTTAGTTTTGTTATGTACTGGAAGTGGTACTTATCTAATCTCTTGGAGTCTGTAGTGTGGGGGTATGCCCCCTCTGATCTTCTTTGTACTGATTGCCATATTTTTTGACATCAATTTAATACCTGCTTATGAAATTATATATATATAAGAAGAGAAGAAAAAGTTAAACATTTTCCACTTTTTTGGTTAGAGACAATGAGTGTAGAGAGGATGGGAAGAGAAATAATGGCGATTACATATGATTTTTTTCATCTACTTGCAATTTGTACTGAATATTGTACTTCTCTTTAAATTAATCAAATCAAAACATTTTCAAGGTGTTAATTTTTTGGGACCACAAAGTAAATATTTTCCATCCTAGTCACTCCAATCTTTTCTCTCCTAGTTATGAGGGAGAATTTCACGATTTCTCTTTACTCTTGCCTTACTCTAATCAAACAATATGTAATCGCAGGAAAATAAATCAGACAATCCAGAACACATTCTATGAAAATTGGAAAGCATACCTGAGAATTATTACGTATGCCATGATCCTGAAGCGAATAGTTGTTATCAAGTAACTTTTCATTATGGTATGAAGGCAAAAATTTGCCTAAACATGCTGCCTGCAAACAATTGTTTAAAATAAAAATGAAGTTGAAAATGTTATTAGCTAACAATACAAAGCAGAATATAAAACAAAATACATTCTGTCTTAGATTTCCACATAACATAGTTGAGATAAGAGTTTGTAAAATTTAATTGGTCATTAAGTTGGCTTCGATTACACTAAAGCAATATTTGAGAGTAAAAGATGTGCATATTTCAAGAGTTACATGCCTAAATACTTTAGTTTCACATGCCTAAATACTTTAGTTTCACATCATAGGTAAAAGATACAGATATATGTGTTTAGAGGAAAATAAATAGAGATATACATAAACCATATTAATGAATTCAATATTTGAAATCATTTAGCAAAAGCCACTATCCATTGTTGGTCCTCATTAATTCAGGATATTAAGAGATCCCTATTACTTGAGTGTGTTAGAAGTGATAGACCAGACACAAGTCTAATATGCTACAAGGACTCTTCAAGGATACATGAAATACCCATGTAGGAATCATGACATTCAGGCATGATTATTGAACATGTGTCTGACACATTTAGCAATGTCCTTGTATCAATCTATTTGAATATTTGATGTATCTGACTCTTAGATACATAACCATACGGTCTATACTCAACATGACGTACTTCCATGTAACATTGGACATAATTTGCAGAATTTGACTACACCAAGTAATAACTTTTATTTGGAATCATTTGATCGAGGAAAAATGTCATAAAAAAAATAAAATAAGAAAGAAAGAAAGAATAAAAGAAAGAAAAATAAAATTTCCAATGATAGTTGTGGTGAAGAAATGCAATAATAATTTCGAGAGGAAAACTGCACAGATGGTCATTTCAGCAATAAAGATCCCCTTTTTCACTGATGAATGAAGTAATTAAGCTGACTCGGGTTACAATACGACGTAGAGGCATAGTTGAAGGACAAGTCACCGACAAGAGAGGAATGCTGGGTCTATAGGTAGATGTTATCTATTTATGGCATAGTATCGGCGGTTCCCTCATCAAATCTGAGCTAAAAAGGATTCCCTCCTTTTTGATCACATAAAATAAGAAAGAAAGAAAGAACAAAAGAAAGAAAAATAAAATTTCCAATGATAGTTGTGGTGAAGAAATGCAATAATAATTTCAAAAAAAATCATCAAAAATCATGATTGCCTAATATTAGGGGAAGTATAGACATCATTAAACTTTTAAGCAGTACCAGATAAATTGATGATCCTAAGGACCAAATCATTGAATGAATGAAATCTTTCATGAAAAATTCCTGAGTTACTCCAAGTTATTGAATTGCATGGAATAAGTTTAATTTAAATTATTCCAACTAAAAGGGGAGGAAAAAACTATAAATCGTGAAATGGTGCCTTGCCTAGTGTTAATTTAAATGCTACTAAAGAGCAGATGACAGCATTCAAACACCTTTACCTATTAATATTTTTATATATGCATATATATAGCTTTAGAACTCATTCTTTTGCCATGGTCATTTAAAGCACAATCTACCTTTTAATGATAAAGTGACGGCCCAGTGAACCAAATTGCAGTAAAACGTTATCCAGAGAGAGTTATCAAAATCAATTCAAAAAGATTGCAAAGTGACTTAATATGTTCATGATTCAAAGGGAGTTATACCAAGAAATTTGGCAATGACCCATCTTGGACTGCTCCATATCATTAACCTTTTTCCTGATAGCCAATTCCAAATCCTTTGAAGTCGCAGAATTCATCACGACCACATCTTTACCATTGAAAACCCTATAAATTGTTAATATAATCCACAATAAGGGCTTTCAGCTTATTCAAGACTCAAGTTCAACCCAAATTTACCAATTAGTCTTTCAAATCCTGCAAAGGGAGATCCTGTTTCAGTCATTATCTTCACAAATATTTATAACTAAAATTCACAAAATAAAAATAAAACTATATAAAAAAGATCATAAAAAATTTCACTAAATAGGATTTAGTTTGCAAAACAAGAATTATAGACCTTGATTAATTGATTTAGAAAAAAAAAAATTTAAAACAAAACCCACACATACAAGTTAGCAGTTACAGAGGGAGATGAGGGCAAGCTTGAGAGTTGAGAGACAGCGGGCTGAAGCTTGCGAATAGCGAACCCGAACTGGAACAACAGGCGATGGAAACTAAAAGATATGGGTTTTGATTTTTTGAACAATCTGAAATGATATGCCGATATGGGTTTTGATATAGGTAATACGTTTTGAACTTTTGATTCTTGCAGACAGATAGAGAAATTGAAGTATATGGGTTTTGAACTTCTGATTCTTGTAGATTTTGTAATTTGTAGTTACAAAGACACAGAGAGGGCAAGTTTAGAGTTGAGAACGAGAATAGACATGGAGGCAATTTGGGAGGCTGAAATGAGGAGAACGACAATAGAGATAAGGCGATTTGGGAGGCTGAAATGATTTTGCCCTAAAATTTAATCGTTTGGTCTGTACGTGTGAGGCTATATATATTTCTGTATATAAAATATATATATATTTTTAAGAAACTAGCAGGAATAAGACCCGCGCGTATTCACTTTTTATATTCACTTTCTACCACGGTATTACACAGTGGTAGAATAAATTACTATCATAGTTTTCCATTAACCGTGGTAGAAAAAGCGGTAGAAAGGGCGGGATTTTAACCCACTAAAGCTTAGTGAAATAAACTCACTTTCTACCACGGTTAACCACGGTTTTCCATTAACCGTGGTAGAAAGGGCGTGGTAAAAAATTATTTTTCTTGTAGTGCCAACAGATAAGATCTGAATTTGTCCAAAGCAAAGACAACTGTAAGCAACTCTTTTTCAGTAGTGGTATAATTTAATTATGCTTCTGAAAGAGTTTTGCTCGTATAGTAGATAACATAAGGAAGTTTATCTACTCGTTGTCCCAAGACAACACCCATAGCATAATCAGATGTGTTACACATGATCTCAAATGGAAGAGCCCAGTTTGGAGGATTCATGATAGGAGCTGAAGAAAGAAGAAAGCAAAGCTTATGGAAAGCTTCCAAGCATGATTCATCAAAGACAAAAGGGGTGTCCTTTGAAAGTAGATTACACAAAGGACGAGAAATTTTGTTGAAATCTTCAATGAAATGTCGATAGAATTCGGCGTGTCCATGAAATGATCTCACTCCCCTTACGGAGGTAGGAGGAGGCGATTTAGAGATCAAATATACTTTGGCTCTATCAACTTCAATACCTCTCTCTGAAATGATATGTCCTAAAACAATCCCCTCTTGAACCATAAAATGACTCTTCTCCCAACTAAGAATAAGATTATTTTCCCTACAAAGTTGAAATACTAGGGACAGATTTTGGGGACAGTTTTCAAATGTGGACCCGAAAGCAGAGAAGTCATCCATAAAGACCTCGAGAAACTTTTCAACCATGTTCGAAAAAGATAGACATTATACACCTCTGGAATGTTGCTGGTGCATTACACAATCCGAAAGGCATCCGTCTATATGCAAATGTATTGAATGGACAAGTGAAAGTAGTTTTCTCTTAATCTTTAGGATCAATGGCCACTTGATTATAACCGGAATATCCGTCTAAGAAGCAATAACAGCTCTGGCCAGCCAATCGCTCTAGAATTTGATCAATGAATGGTAATGAAAAATAATCTTTTCTAGTAGTGGAGTTGAGTTTCCGGTAATCAATACACATACACCATCCAGTGGTGGTGCGTTGTGGAACTAATTCTCCCTCAGAATTCTTAACTACTGTAATACCTGTCTTTTTAGGTACTACCTGAGTAGGACTCACCCACTTGTTATCTGAGATGGGGTAGATTATTCCCGCATCTAGCAACTTCACAACTTCCTTCAAAACCACATCCTTCTTATTAGGATTCAATCTTCTTTGGAGTTCTCGAGATGTTGGGAATCCTCCTCCAAATGAATCTGATGCATGCAAATTGTGGGACTAATTCCTTTTAAATCAACCACGCTTTACCCAATAGCCTCTTTATTTTGCTCAAGAACTTTTAAGAGACTACTTTCTTGGGAACTTGTAAGATTAGAAGCAATGATCACCAGGAGGGTGTCATTTAAACCTAAGAAAGCATACTTGAGCTTGTCCGGTAGTGGCTTAAGCTCAAGCTTAGGTGAAGACTCTAAAGAATGAATAGACGGAGTACTAGAAAGTGGAGAAAGAGGCTCAAGTCTAGATTTTCATGGAAGAAAATCAGTGATAGGAGTGGAATTGAGCAAAGAATTCACTTTAGCTATTGAAGATTCAATATCAAAGTCTTCATAATTGAAGTGATTCAGACAAGCTTCTAAAGGATCATTGGATAAAATAGTTGGGGAGTGATTCCTCAACCAACTCATCAATAACATCAAGGAAGAAATATTTACTATCATCGTGGGGATGATGAATAGCATTGAAGATGTTCAGCTTGACTTTCATATTCCCAAAAGAAAAATCTATGGCTCTAGTCCTACAATTAATGCAAGCATTCGCTGTGGCTAGAAAAGGATGCCTAAGAATGACTGGAATATACTTTTTGGAATCGTGGACCGGTTCTATATCAAGAACTAAGAAATTGACCTAAAAAAAGAACTTGTCCACTTTTATGAGTATATCTTCAACAATACCTCATGGTTGTCTGACAGAACGGTCAGCAAGCTGTAGAACAACCGATGTAGGTTTTAATTCTCGCAAGCCTAGCTTCTCATACACTGAGTAAGGAATAAGATTCATACTTGCTCCAAGATCAAGAAGTGCTCACTCTATCACATTGTTTTCAATGATGCAAGAAATTATAGGAGCACCAGGATCTTTAACATTTAGAGGAGTGTTGTACTTAAAAATAACACTGACTTGCTCGGTGAGACAAATTTTCTTAGGAACTTGGCTTTTGGATTTTCTCTAAAGAGTGCACAAGTCCTTTAAAAATTTGGAGCAGGCTGGAATTTGCTATATAGCATCAAGTAGAGGAAGATTGATTTTGACCTGTTTAAAGACCATAATCATATCTTGAATTTTCTCCCATTGTTTACCAAAGTGGGAGGGTTCCTTGAGACATTTAGGATAAGGAGTTCTTGGCTCATAAGTTGCCTCAAGGTTAGGAATAGATGAAGAAGTGATTCCACCTTCAACTCCTGTGGTGGATTGTGGAATAGAACTTGAGGAAATATATTTGGGATGTGGATTATGAATGATAGAAACAATGGAAACCCTAAGCCTCTCTTTTTCTTCCTGTCATTTTTCAACTTGATTATCAAACACTCTACCACTCCTCAATGTAGTAATAGCCTAAACTTGCTCATGATGAATACCTGAGGAATTGGTTCATCAATCGTGTAAGTGTGCCCTTTCAGGTTGGCTACGGCTGACTAGGCAGATTTCCATCTTCTCTTTGAGATAGAGTACTCGTTATTTTCCTAACTTGTGCCTTTAGCTTTGCTATGGCTTGTGAATAAGAATTAAGCAGTTGGGTATTCGCTTTAAGATCAACAGGAGCGTTGAGTACTTGATCCTCAAAAGTAGAATTTCTAGGAGGAGGTGGAAGATTGAGAGTTTGAGTGGGTTGATTCCTGAACTGAGGTGGACAATAAATACCAGATTAATTGAAAGAATTATTTTGTGGCATAGGATTGGATAAATTTTGGTACTGTCACTGTGATTAAGGAACAGTGGTTCATTGACTTTGATTACGCCATGATAGATTTGGATGATCTCTCCAGCCATAATAATATGTAGAAACATATGGATTGTTAGCTGGTCTAGACAATGCAGCGTTCATTTGCTCAATTAGGATCTCATATGATTGTCCCATTATAGGCAAGTGTCAGCAAAATGGGAAGGATTAGCATAGATTGAACAAACTTCTTTTGGCAAGGCAGTTTGTGGATTAGTAACATGAGCAAAGCCAGATGATAAGATTTGATCAAACCTATGGTTCAATGCTTCTATTTGAGCGGCTAACTCACTAGATTTGTCTACCTCATAGAGTTTTTCAACCTTATGCATTCCAGGTGAAGACCTAGACCTAGAGGAATACGTATGTTGTACTAAATTCTCACTTAGGGCCTCAAACAGTTCCCAAGCGTCAGCCGGACTCTTATGTAGAAAGGCTCTATTACTAGATGATAAGCGCCGAATATTGTATATTCAAGCACCCTTAATTGCATTATTTAAGTCCATTGTTTGTTTAATTATGTAGATTACCTTCATATGCACGTTTTTGCGTATTTTCAGGTTCATTGGCCAAAAAGAAGCAAGAAGGATGCTTTGTGGAGTTTTGAACATCAAAGGTCACAATGCTGAATTTCTGGCAGCAGTGGAACCTGGACTTTGCTTGCCACTTTGACCTTGAAAACTCGAGAACTGGACTTCCCTCATAACATCACATATTTAGAGCTCTGAATCAGCTTTCCAAATCTTCAAGCGGTTCATCATTCAGAGTTCGGAGCAGAGAGTTATGATCTTCTTATCATAGGTGCTCAGAACTGCCTGGCAGCAATGAATTTCTGCTTTGCTCTTCAATTTCGACCAACCATCCTTGAGAATTGGATCTCCACCAAAACATGAAGTTTTTAGAGCTCTGAATTAGCTTTCCAAATCTTCAAACGGTTCATCATTTGGAGTTTAGAGTGCAAAGTTATGGCCATTTTACCAAAGTAGGTCTGGGCGGAGCAAACCAAGCATAAGGCATTCTGGCCAATTTTCGAGTGCTCGAGGCTTTATTTCGAGTGCTCGAAATTAGGGCAGATTGTTTCACGAGATCAGCAGTGGAGTCAGGACTTTGCTCGCCATTTTGACCCAGAAAGCTCGAGAATTGGACTTCCATCATAACATGAAAGATTTAGAGATCTGAATTAGCTTTCTAAATCTTCAAACGGTTCATCATTCGGAGCTCGGAGCAGAGAGTTATGGCCTTGTTACCAGAGGTGCGCAGAACTGCCTGGTAGCACTGAAGTACTGCCTTTCTCCCCATTTTCGACCAACCAGACTTGAGATTTGGGTCTTCATCAAAACATGAAGTTTTTAAATCTCTGAATCAGCTCTCCAAATATTTAAACGGTTCATCATTCGGAGTTTGGAGCGCAAAGTTATGGCCAATTCATCAAAGTAGGTCTGGGAGGAGCAAGTGAAGCATGGAGCTTTTTACACTAAATTCGAGTGCTCGAGGCCCTATTTCGAGCACTCGAAATTTGGGCAGTTTGCTCCACAAGACAGCCCACTTGTGCTTTGAAATTTCCAACTTTGGATTTCCCTATTAATGAGGTGGTTGGGGATGTTTTTTTTGGAGGAGAGAGAGAGTTTTGTTGGAGGACAAAAGGCAGCCAAAGGCCACACATTTCATATCCTTGAATTTTTGCAAGATAGAGGAGAGAGAAGAGAGCAAAGAGGAGGAGTTCTTGAAGCTTCAAAGAGGAAGCTCAAAAATGGAGGGGAAAACCTTGCTTCTTCCTTCATCTAGGGCCA